TGAACTTCCAGTAAAAATTAACGGCACTATTTGGCTTGGAAGGGGCAAGTTCAATGAGTAAATGCTGTGTGCTTGACGTAATTCGAGTGATTGCAGTCAAAGCCACTCGACAAAGGAGAGGTGGCCGAACCACTGCAGAAATTCACGAACGACTTCATGGCATCAGCAAGAGAACAGCTGGAGGAGGGGTCAGTACATTTTCAGCTTTTCATTGAACTTCTAGAATATTAGTGCCTTTAGGAAGCACATTCACCTATCCTACAGCTCTTCATTGATTTTTCGCTCATCAATGCTGTAGTGGCGCGATTAAGTCGATTTAGGCTACGTTCAGACTCCGCGACGCTCGTCGTTGCGCTACCGTTGCGGTCGCGCTCTAACGCTATAGACGGGTATCGATCGGCGCCAGCGCTGGTGTTTAGGCAAAGTATAGTGGAACAAGAGGGTACCAGGCGGTGAGATTAGGCGACAGAAAATGAAAAGGTCTGTGTTTCGCTAGCAAAAAACGTTGCTATTTTAGGCTGCCTAATCACACTGTGTGAAAATCGTTCATCTTCCTATACTCTCAAAAACACCATCGGCCAGCGCCGATCGATACCTCTTTGTAGCCGTGTTCCTGTCTACGAGCGCGATTGCAACGCTACTGCGTCGACACGCGTTATCGCGTAGTCTAAACACAGCTTCAGAGAAAAATTGAGTATCACTTGCAAAGTTAGTGCTGATGAAGGATATTTAGCGAGGACGAGAATGTTTTCAAAACACTTTGGTACGATCCCAATTACAAAGTCCATGATTTGTGCGAGAAGTCGAACTCCGGAGGACAAACTGGCGAGCTGATATGGTGAGTCGCGTTTTCCTATGAAAGTGAGTTTAGCGCGGCAGCTGGATCTCTGTTTAAACACCCGTTTCTAGGGCGCAGTGCGACGGGGGGGGGGCAATTTGCTCTTTTGCTACTTCCCATCGTTGTGCCAACCCATCCAAATAGCTACATAATGAGCTTACAAATGGGCAGGTTTTACAATGATGGTTCGATGAACTTGCTCCAGCTTCACAAGGTTCACAGGTTTCACCACAGTGAGACTTGTAAACCGGAACTAGTGAAGCAACGAAAGTGCAAGATGCCCCCCTCCCCCGTCGCGACAGCGCTCGCTTCCAGTTCAGAGCATCTCATGCACCATTACCGGAAGGATACTTCTTCATGACGTTCTTGACCCTTGCCCTGATCACTTTATTATAGGGCAAGGCCTTTTCAATGTAATCCTGTAGGACTCACTACTGTCATCGTGCTGCCGCTTCCGCATGAAATGGACCTCAGCTCCGTAATAAGAGAGACTTCACAATGGGAGGAACGCTGGCACCCTATAACAGGCCGTTTTGGGAGCCCCTTCTCAGAATTCGAATGTGCGAACGAAGCCCGCTCTTAACAAGATATAGCGCAGTGGCGGTGGCCAGTACGACCGTCCTCAAGTTTCCCGATCTACGACCCTATCTGTCACCTTCACTAGTTTCCCAACTTCTTACCACTTTACAAAGATTTTTCTTCAAAACCACTTTCGATCTTGAGCATAAAACATCTGTTCGCATGTCGTAATTTCTGGATTTCATTTGATAATCATATTTTCAAGGACTGAACCCGGAGATCGCCTTCTGAAAGTGATCGGCAATGGAGTAGTCAAGGACGGTTACAATATGTTCCTGGCACCTGGCCAAGCTCAAGGTAACATTTGCCATGAATTATGATATTATGCAGTTTGGTTTATAGACAACCCACATCCACCGTTTTTCGAATTGCGGCGCAGTTTGAAGACGAGGGGGGGGGGAGGGTCGAGTACCTCCCCATGCCACCTTCCACTTTCTAGATTCTCCCAACCTCCTACCACTTTGTCCATTTTTTCCCAAAAATTTCTGGTTTTTTTACAAAATTTTGCTGTCGAGCGGGGGGGGGTCGCAGTACCTACGTACGTCCCAAGCACGTCCAGCACTCTGGCGCTGGTGTAGCATACTGACAATACGTACGAGGAAGGGGCGATGATAGGAGCTACGATGACCGCCCACAAGGGCACCATATCTATAAACAAACCAAAGGACTCACGACGTGACGATCAATAAACAGATGAAAGTACATTTTCACCTTTCTGATCGCAGGAACACATGTGCTTGCGCTTAGGAAGCCCTATCTAGAAGTTGCACCTTCCCAACACCTCTGCCTGAAAGCCCTATGCATGGCGCATTGCAGAGGTGATGCCAATTAGAGCCCAATGAACTATTACCTGATATACTTGACGAAAACATGCGTTTTAGAAGCATACCAATGTCTTAAAGCCAACTGGAGATTTTCTGGCGTCGGAGGGGTTGATTTTTCGGGCGTGGGGGAGTGGTTTTTTTATGATCACAACGGGGAAATTTTTCGAATAGCAGGCCTAGCGATAAAATGAAAGTTGTGCTGGAAAGTAGAAAGCTTCGTGCGTCCGGCACAGTTCTTTTTTTTTTCGAAAGGCCGTGTATGAAGCTTGCCATGGATGTCCAAAGCGTGGCGACTTGTGGTTGGCCCCCATGATCACAAGAGGATCACAAGAGGATCACAACGGTGAAACTTTCTAGAAAGGAAATGTTTCAGAAATCGTTCAATCCAGGTAACAAGAGCCAACCTAGCTCTACTCATTCCCACTTTCCCCCTCTCCGAGAGTTTTACTTTCAACGAAGTTATGGGTGTTCAAAAGAGGGGTACTTTTCGAGTGTTTGGCTTGAAATTGGCTCCAGGTCGTAAAATAGCGCGCACCAATGCGCTTGTATTAGCGTGGGAATCCTCGCGTGCGGCTGACCGCGAACAACTAGCATGCAGGCGCCATTGTTTCGCACAGCTGCGGCTGCGTGCCCACACTGCGGATCTACAGTAACCTCACGCCTAGTTCCATTACTCGTTGGGGACGTAGCATCTTAATGAATTCTGTTGATTATGATTAAAGAGTGACATCTATGAGTATTTTTAGACCTAGAATCTTCCATCTTACATCTGCATTCGTTGTTCTTCATTTCTATCCTTTGTCATCTTCATCACCCTCTACTGGGACTCTGATGCGTTTTGCTTGTATTAAACTAACGTGGGACGCTAGGCCGTTCTTATTGGCATGGTTCGTGGAAATGCGCGGCCTACGAGGGATATTGCAGAAGCAGCACAGTTGCTCTTGAGTTCTGGCCCTCGTCATCATCTTCGGCTTTTGTTTTGCAGCACCTAAAATGCTATCAGCATCAGGAAATTGCGTTTTAGAGTCCGGCATTTTTTCCAGGTGTAGGTTTAGGCGACAGTTGTTTGAACTGTTGTTAAGCCGCTCACTGTATGAGGCACTCTTTTCTGGGGTTCCTTCCAAACTTCTATTAGCTTTTACGACCCCCCCCTCCATCGGGGGCAAATACGACCCCCCCCCGTTGTGATGATCACAACGATGGCGTGCCCTGTTCTCGTGGACGTGTCGACCCATCTAGACAGCCTCTTCTCGAGTTGACAGGTTTTAACATGATGGCTTGACGACCTTGTTCCAGCTTCACAAGAGTTCACAGGTTTCGCCAGAGTGAGACATGTAAACCGGAACCAAGGAAGCAGAGTGCCTCCCCCCCCCGTCGTCAAACTGCACCGCCCGAATTGCCACACTGAAAGCACTGTGCATGTCTGCACCCTTGAAGACAAACTGTGCACTCACTTGCAATCACGGTCCTTTCCATATACGAGGTGAATGGGTCTGCAAGTGCAATAGCGTGCCATTTTTGCGCTCAAAAGTGCACGGGAGCGGGCTGGAGGGTAGTGGTATCTTGGCGCCCTCTCCCGACTCCGTCCACGCTATCCTCAAGCTGTAGCACTTGCGTCGATACCAAAGTCCCGCGGCGGACACGAGGGAAAGGTAAAGAACAATTAGAAGTAAGAGAGCACAGACAAGTAGCCCGTTTGGTTATGGCTAGGCGCCTGGCTGGAGGTGCGGCAGCGTGGGTGGGGTCTAGGAACAGCACCCGGATATCGCTACCCTCGAGCCCCGTTTCCCTGAGTGGAGAAATGGCATGATACTGCAGCTGTGGACCCATTCACCTCGTACATCTCAGGGACGAGGATCAACGAGAAAAGGTGAACAGTTCCTCTTTAAACCCTTTATGTCTTGATCGACGTATTTTGAATTGTTGCCATACACAAAAGAAAAAGTCGCTCTGATATTATGACTTTACTTTAGGACGCCGGACGGATGTCCACGTCGCTGTGTACATTGAATCTATGTCATCTTTCAAAGCTCAAACAATGGTAAATTGATCAAAAAATGTGGATCGATAAATGCTCCAAAAATTTTCCTAATCTGGGCGAAATTCAGGATTTTGAAGTAGACATGTATTTGGCCATGGGCTGGTTCGATCGACGTCTAGCCCATAATTGTACACACCCTATTCTTGTTACCAGTAAAGTAAGTGCCTTGAGTCATTTCTCCTTTGTGGATTATTGAAGTAGCGTTATAACTTCGCGATGGCAGCGTTTCTTTCGTGCGTACGACGCAGTCGGTCGTATGAACGATCGCGTAGTACGCGAGTTTCATTCAGTCGGGCTCCAATGCTAAAATTGAATGTACAGGCGCTCCTTCAACGACGTGTGCGTTTGTTCCTTTTTTCCCCTACCTCTAGTCCTATCACTCTTCTAGCTTCCACTTTGGTCTCTTATTCTCAAAGTGAATTCTGAAAACACTCGTATGACGGAAAAGAAAAACGAAGAGAAACAAATGAACAACCATCTACGAAAAATTTGTTCATTTAGATTAGACACAGTAGCATCGGCATCATCAGCATTCAAATGGAAGGCTAGTGCGGAAGGGCTATCAAAAATGGGGAAGGAGAAGGCTGTCAAACACATACGTGATGTGAAAAATAAGAACGGAAGCGGAACTACACTGAAAAAAAACTAAGCTCGGCAATCATCCAAGTCGCAAGAGGTGGAAGATGACTGAGAGACTAGAATGGAATCCGAAAAAAGATAGGGAGACAAAAAGGGAAAAATAAACGAATACGCCGTCGGAGTAGCAACGATCAGTTGCATTGAGCGCGACCGAAGCTGCGTCGCAAAGTCTGAACGCTGCCCAAGACGTAATAGGTTGGATGCCCAGATCAAATCGATTTTCAGCTAATAGCTGATCGAATGTGGCACCCAGATCTCTATTTTGTAAATTCCAAATTCGCTTACCTACAAGAGGTCACCACGCCTAATTTGATGGTGATCGTCTATCCAGATGGCCTTATTTTCAAATCAATGCGGTATGAGGGAACTTTTTAGTTCATTATCGGTCACATGTTCATTTCTAAACAAAGAAAAATTTTCAGATTAGATGTAACGCTCAGTTGTATGATGGATTTGAAACTGTTTCCGATCGACCATCAAGAATGCCCACTAAAGATCCAAAGCTGTAAGGAATCAGAATACATATAATATACATGGGATCATACAAACAATCGTTTAAAAAGCATACACGAGCTCGAACACAAACGGCGCTCAGATTCCTGGTCCTTCCAATCCTGGTAGCTCGCAGCCAGTGATTCTGCTTGTCAGAAAGATCCTCTCTGGCCTTTCGCATCCATAGTGACATGGTGTATCGTAGTTGCATAATAGCAGCTTAGCCTAGTTTTTCGCTTCTTTACTGCGTCTTCTTCCTTCTTCGAAGGCATGTACTAATCCATAATTTTGTGTCCCTCCTACTACAAAGATACCTCAAAGCGGGGATGGTCTAGTGGCGGAAGGCACGCTTACTACGAGCACGGCCCAGGCGCGAAAACTCCGTCCCAGATAAGCCGTGCCTAGCGATCGCAGCGGTTTCAACGTTCTTGCGGAAATTGTTATCTCAAAGTTTTTGCGGAAATTCTTATCCTCGAAAGCTGAATGCGTCCAGAACTTCTCGGACCTCTCACGCTCTTCCATTAGGCTGTAAAATATCAAATGGCGGTATCTGCCCTTGATTTTGAATACACATACATATCTTGGCTCAATACAGCCTTTTTATCGAAATATGCACTCTTGCAATCCACATGTTTTGCTTTTATTCCAGGACTAAAAGTCCTGAAGCTCTGGAAGGGACGAGATCATTAAAGGGAGTTTCGATGGCATTTGTATTGGAGGAGTTTTTTCATGCAAGAACTTACCCATATCTTTAGAAAAACGGGACATCTGTTGTTAAAAGGTCTGGCGATTATGAAGGTCTGAGTGGCGTCTCTTAACAAGCTCCACCGTTCTGCAGTGCGCTTGCTTGTTGTGTCTTCGCTGAGGATGCGATTTGAGTTTCGAGCATTTCTCACTGCTTTTCGTCCCATTTTGAACTCCTGTAAGGAAACGTCACGAATTTGGGAACTTTTTACTTCATCTTGACTCTCTGAAACTTTTATCGCTTTTTGTTTTCGCAAGAAACCAAATCGCGTTTTTTTGCAAGAAGCCAAATGTTATAAAGAAATAGGGCAACATATGTATTTCATAATGATATGTAGCTTTGCAATAGAACAAATTGGCAGAACGAAAATTTTGTAATCAAAAATTCCAACAACTAAATGGCCCGCTTGAACTGGTCATAGGTGCGTAGACACGCCCCTCCAGAGGCCGTGATATGTGTATCGAGCATGATAGTAATTTTATTATCTTTTATTCTTTTTCTTTAGTTGCCTACATCGAACAGATTGTTAATCTGACGTGGCACGTTGCTCCTCCCTATTTTCCCGTTGGTTCTAACGAGGAGATCAAGCTAAACGATATGGCTATCACCCGAACTCGTTATGAGAAGTGTGCTGGACCGTATCCCATGTTTCGCGGATCAGGTAGGTCATCCATCATTCAAATGAAGAGTAGTTGTTCTTGCATTGCCACTCAAATGGCTTCAGCAATTTCTTTGGGGTCAGCCTCGCTATATTGATTGCAGTTCCAATGTCAGAAGACTGAGGCCTGTCCTCTGTAGTCATATCGTCTGATAGTAGAAAGTGCAAGCCGAGGCGGGTTCACTTCACACCACTTGACACCGCATAGTTGGGCGACGGTATCACTGTAAGTTAAAGAGAGAAAACAGGTGATGTCGCTGTTATCACCTCGTTCATCTTAACTCTCTCGCTATTCCGCACGTCCAGTATTATTCGAGATCGGGAACTGTTCTCAATGTTCCTGTTTTGGCGCTAGAGCGTGTATAGTCGCTCCCCTTGAAGAAAGTGGACATGGCGTGACCTCCTTTAGCACACCTGCTGCTCAGGCCCCGTTCAGAGTTCGCAATAACGCGCTTTACAGCGCGATCACGCGCCATCACCGCAGCGGCATTCTGGTACTATGGAGGGTAGCTGACGGGCGTTGATCGACGTCAGCCGCTAATGATTTAAGACAACTGGAAGAAATGGTGGGTACGCGATGCCTAATTACCCATCCGGTACCCTCTTCTAGGCTCTCTCGAAACGCTAGCGGTCGACATCGATCGATATCAGACTGCGTGAAGGCAACGCCTAACCACTTGTCATCCTACACTTTCTCGAAACACAAGCCGCCGGCGCCGACTGATACTCATCTGTAGCTACGTTCCCGCCAATAGCACTAGAGCGAATTTACAATGGTAACACGTTGCAGCGCGCCGGCGCGCGTCATCCCGAAGTTTACGCTGAAGTTGATCTGAAAATTATGGGGAGCACCCTGCTGCTTACGTTATAAAGAACTTCTTTCCAAAGTATGCTCACAGTGTGTATAAGCAGAAAATATGAATCGCTCCAAATGAGGTTAAGAAATCTTCCTGAGTACTACTTTTGTCCTATTTTTCGTCGAAAACCGCTCGTCTGTGGTCGTTAATTAACCCTGTAGAATTATTACTACCGCATGTTCATTATGAACGAATCGTGCTTTGCCTGCTTGTTCGGTCGAAATCCGGCTTAGGCCTTGATGACTTCTTCGATAAAATGACATTCCTGGGTTGCAGTCATTTGCCTCAGATCCTCAATTACATTAGGAACTTTTCGATGTGAGGCGTGATCGTAACTCGGGTGCTCGGTGCTATGCATCATCATTATTGTAGTAACCGAAATGTGAAATGCTGAAGTTATAGTGACTTAGTGATGTGTTGAATGTAATCAGTAGATGTTGACGACGTCAAGGTTCAAATTCTTAGTATTGCTTCTAAATGCTCTGGTACGCAGCGAGTCTTCCGGGTAAATCATCCAACAAAAGTATTCATGTTGTGCACCAACAAAAACCTGAAAAAACCTGAACACAACCCCTCTCTTCCCAAGCTTCAGATGTCGAGCCGGGGATCGAGGTGAAGGAGGAGGTAGGCACCTCCGGCTACCACCAGAAATAGAATAAGGTTATGTGGCGCCGCCAACTGGGGGAGGGTGGACATGATATGTCTTTCCAAGGAAAAACACGATTCTAAGAATGAAAAGGCCAAGGGATGGTTTTTGTACTAGTCTCCCTTTATACATGACTTGTTTGCGTTTTGCAAACGAACCTTGGCGTAGCAACGTGA